ATAATGTAAATAGAGTCCAGAAGATACATGGCAAGGTAATTGATAATGTAAATAGAGTCTTAATGCTCAAATGACTAACGACATTCATGGCAAGGTAATAATTCAGTAAATAGAGTCTTAATGCTCATAGACAAAGTCTTACCATAATGTAAATAGAGTCCAGAAGATACATGGCAAGGTAATTGATAATGTAAATAGAGTCTTAATGCTCAAATGACTAACGACATTCATGGCAAGGTAATAATTCAGTAAATAGAGTCTTAATGCTCATAGACAAAGTCTTACCATAATGTAAATAGAGTCCAGAAGATACATGGCAAGGTAATTGATAATGTAAATAGAGTCTTAATGCTCAAATGACTAACGACATTCATGGCAAGGTAATAATTCAGTAAATAGAGTCTTAATGCTCATAGACAAAGTCTTACCATAATGTAAATAGAGTCCAGAAGATACATGGCAAGGTAATTGATAATGTAAATAGAGTCTTAATGCTCAAATGACTAACGACATTCATGGCAAGGTAATAATTCAGTAAATAGAGTCTTAATGCTCATAGACAAAGTCTTACCATAATGTAAATAGAGTCCAGAAGATACATGGCAAGGTAATTGATAATGTAAATAGAGTCTTAATGCTCAAATGACTAACGACATTCATGGCAAGGTAATAATTCAGTAAATAGAGTCTTAATGCTCATAGACAAAGTCTTACCATAATGTAAATAGAGTCCAGAAGATACATGGCAAGGTAATTGATAATGTAAATAGAGTCTTAATGCTCAAATGACTAACGACATTCATGGCAAGGTAATAATTCAGTAAATAGAGTCTTAATGCTCATAGACAAAGTCTTACCATAATGTAAATAGAGTCCAGAAGATACATGGCAAGGTAATTGATAATGTAAATAGAGTCTTAATGCTCAAATGACTAACGACATTCATGGCAAGGTAATAATTCAGTAAATAGAGTCTTAATGCTCATAGACAAAGTCTTACCATAATGTAAATAGAGTCCAGAAGATACATGGCAAGGTAATTGATAATGTAAATAGAGTCTTAATGCTCAAATGACTAACGACATTCATGGCAAGGTAATAATTCAGTAAATAGAGTCTTAATGCTCATAGACAAAGTCTTACCATAATGTAAATAGAGTCCAGAAGATACATGGCAAGGTAATTGATAATGTAAATAGAGTCTTAATGCTCAAATGACTAACGACATTCATGGCAAGGTAATAATTCAGTAAATAGAGTCTTAATGCTCATAGACAAAGTCTTACCATAATGTAAATAGAGTCCAGAAGATACATGGCAAGGTAATTGATAATGTAAATAGAGTCTTAATGCTCAAATGACTAACGACATTCATGGCAAGGTAATAATTCAGTAAATAGAGTCTTAATGCTCATAGACAAAGTCTTACCATAATGTAAATAGAGTCCAGAAGATACATGGCAAGGTAATTGATAATGTAAATAGAGTCTTAATGCTCAAATGACTAACGACATTCATGGCAAGGTAATAATTCAGTAAATAGAGTCTTAATGCTCATAGACAAAGTCTTACCATAATGTAAATAGAGTCCAGAAGATACATGGCAAGGTAATTGATAATGTAAATAGAGTCTTAATGCTCAAATGACTAACGACATTCATGGCAAGGTAATAATTCAGTAAATAGAGTCTTAATGCTCATAGACAAAGTCTTACCATAATGTAAATAGAGTCCAGAAGATACATGGCAAGGTAATTGATAATGTAAATAGAGTCTTAATGCTCAAATGACTAACGACATTCATGGCAAGGTAATAATTCAGTAAATAGAGTCTTAATGCTCATAGACAAAGTCTTACCATAATGTAAATAGAGTCCAGAAGATACATGGCAAGGTAATTGATAATGTAAATAGAGTCTTAATGCTCAAATGACTAACGACATTCATGGCAAGGTAATAATTCAGTAAATAGAGTCTTAATGCTCATAGACAAAGTCTTACCATAATGTAAATAGAGTCCAGAAGATACATGGCAAGGTAATTGATAATGTAAATAGAGTCTTAATGCTCAAATGACTAACGACATTCATGGCAAGGTAATAATTCAGTAAATAGAGTCTTAATGCTCATAGACAAAGTCTTACCATAATGTAAATAGAGTCCAGAAGATACATGGCAAGGTAATTGATAATGTAAATAGAGTCTTAATGCTCAAATGACTAACGACATTCATGGCAAGGTAATAATTCAGTAAATAGAGTCTTAATGCTCATAGACAAAGTCTTACCATAATGTAAATAGAGTCCAGAAGATACATGGCAAGGTAATTGATAATGTAAATAGAGTCTTAATGCTCAAATGACTAACGACATTCATGGCAAGGTAATAATTCAGTAAATAGAGTCTTAATGCTCATAGACAAAGTCTTACCATAATGTAAATAGAGTCCAGAAGATACATGGCAAGGTAATTGATAATGTAAATAGAGTCTTAATGCTCAAATGACTAACGACATTCATGGCAAGGTAATAATTCAGTAAATAGAGTCTTAATGCTCATAGACAAAGTCTTACCATAATGTAAATAGAGTCCAGAAGATACATGGCAAGGTAATTGATAATGTAAATAGAGTCTTAATGCTCAAATGACTAACGACATTCATGGCAAGGTAATAATTCAGTAAATAGAGTCTTAATGCTCATAGACAAAGTCTTACCATAATGTAAATAGAGTCCAGAAGATACATGGCAAGGTAATTGATAATGTAAATAGAGTCTTAATGCTCAAATGACTAACGACATTCATGGCAAGGTAATAATTCAGTAAATAGAGTCTTAATGCTCATAGACAAAGTCTTACCATAATGTAAATAGAGTCCAGAAGATACATGGCAAGGTAATTGATAATGTAAATAGAGTCTTAATGCTCAAATGACTAACGACATTCATGGCAAGGTAATAATTCAGTAAATAGAGTCTTAATGCTCATAGACAAAGTCTTACCATAATGTAAATAGAGTCCAGAAGATACATGGCAAGGTAATTGATAATGTAAATAGAGTCTTAATGCTCAAATGACTAACGACATTCATGGCAAGGTAATAATTCAGTAAATAGAGTCTTAATGCTCATAGACAAAGTCTTACCATAATGTAAATAGAGTCCAGAAGATACATGGCAAGGTAATTGATAATGTAAATAGAGTCTTAATGCTCAAATGACTAACGACATTCATGGCAAGGTAATAATTCAGTAAATAGAGTCTTAATGCTCATAGACAAAGTCTTACCATAATGTAAATAGAGTCCAGAAGATACATGGCAAGGTAATTGATAATGTAAATAGAGTCTTAATGCTCAAATGACTAACGACATTCATGGCAAGGTAATAATTCAGTAAATAGAGTCTTAATGCTCATAGACAAAGTCTTACCATAATGTAAATAGAGTCCAGAAGATACATGGCAAGGTAATTGATAATGTAAATAGAGTCTTAATGCTCAAATGACTAACGACATTCATGGCAAGGTAATAATTCAGTAAATAGAGTCTTAATGCTCATAGACAAAGTCTTACCATAATGTAAATAGAGTCCAGAAGATACATGGCAAGGTAATTGATAATGTAAATAGAGTCTTAATGCTCAAATGACTAACGACATTCATGGCAAGGTAATAATTCAGTAAATAGAGTCTTAATGCTCATAGACAAAGTCTTACCATAATGTAAATAGAGTCCAGAAGATACATGGCAAGGTAATTGATAATGTAAATAGAGTCTTAATGCTCAAATGACTAACGACATTCATGGCAAGGTAATAATTCAGTAAATAGAGTCTTAATGCTCATAGACAAAGTCTTACCATAATGTAAATAGAGTCCAGAAGATACATGGCAAGGTAATTGATAATGTAAATAGAGTCTTAATGCTCAAATGACTAACGACATTCATGGCAAGGTAATAATTCAGTAAATAGAGTCTTAATGCTCATAGACAAAGTCTTACCATAATGTAAATAGAGTCCAGAAGATACATGGCAAGGTAATTGATAATGTAAATAGAGTCTTAATGCTCAAATGACTAACGACATTCATGGCAAGGTAATAATTCAGTAAATAGAGTCTTAATGCTCATAGACAAAGTCTTACCATAATGTAAATAGAGTCCAGAAGATACATGGCAAGGTAATTGATAATGTAAATAGAGTCTTAATGCTCAAATGACTAACGACATTCATGGCAAGGTAATAATTCAGTAAATAGAGTCTTAATGCTCATAGACAAAGTCTTACCATAATGTAAATAGAGTCCAGAAGATACATGGCAAGGTAATTGATAATGTAAATAGAGTCTTAATGCTCAAATGACTAACGACATTCATGGCAAGGTAATAATTCAGTAAATAGAGTCTTAATGCTCATAGACAAAGTCTTACCATAATGTAAATAGAGTCCAGAAGATACATGGCAAGGTAATTGATAATGTAAATAGAGTCTTAATGCTCAAATGACTAACGACATTCATGGCAAGGTAATAATTCAGTAAATAGAGTCTTAATGCTCATAGACAAAGTCTTACCATAATGTAAATAGAGTCCAGAAGATACATGGCAAGGTAATTGATAATGTAAATAGAGTCTTAATGCTCAAATGACTAACGACATTCATGGCAAGGTAATAATTCAGTAAATAGAGTCTTAATGCTCATAGACAAAGTCTTACCATAATGTAAATAGAGTCCAGAAGATACATGGCAAGGTAATTGATAATGTAAATAGAGTCTTAATGCTCAAATGACTAACGACATTCATGGCAAGGTAATAATTCAGTAAATAGAGTCTTAATGCTCATAGACAAAGTCTTACCATAATGTAAATAGAGTCCAGAAGATACATGGCAAGGTAATTGATAATGTAAATAGAGTCTTAATGCTCAAATGACTAACGACATTCATGGCAAGGTAATAATTCAGTAAATAGAGTCTTAATGCTCATAGACAAAGTCTTACCATAATGTAAATAGAGTCCAGAAGATACATGGCAAGGTAATTGATAATGTAAATAGAGTCTTAATGCCTTGAGCATAGGCCTTTTCATCGGCCTCTTTGATTTCGGCCTCCTTGGTGGCCAGCGCTTGTTGAAGTTCTTTTTGCGCTTGGACTTTCTGAGCCTCGGCCTCCCTTTTCTCGGCTTCAGCTACTTTTTTAACGGCTTCAGCAGCTTCGGCCTTTTCAAGAGCTAAGGTTTGGTTCTTCGTTGCAGCCTCGGCTTGATCCTCTAGTTTTTTCATTTTTACTTCAAGGGCCCTTAATTCTCTCTTCATTGAAGTTGCTTCCCTCTTCATATCAACCAATCTTTGACGATTTTCAAAGGATTGCATTGAAAATGAATGGGCATGTTGGATAGCCTGAATGAAAACAGAAGTATCAGAAAATTTTCTCAGAAAGAAAAAGAAGGAAGAAACATAAATACAAACAGAAATACTTACTTGAGCGGAGTGTTGGAGCATAAGAGCATAATTTTCATACTCACTAAAACTGGCATTTCGCTCCAAGTCATTCGGTAGGAGGAGAGCAGTGCTAAGAGCGACAGCAACATTAATGTCGTCAGCACTCTCGCTAGCCATAATGGGCCTGTCCTCCAGAGATAGATCAGGGGCCCATGGGACGTCGGGCTTCTTTGAAGCCGAGGTCGTCGCAGACGATGACCTTGGCCGCTTTGTTTGTGTAGACCCTGAGGGTTGACCCTCAGCAGATCTCTTGGTGGAGACAGAGGTTGATTTCTTGCTTTCTGCCAGCCTTGAAATGGGCACAGTATCTTCAGCTTCGGCATCTGTAGCCTTAGCCTTAGGCTGAGCCCTTTTTACTCTCTTTTGTTTGGGTGGGAGCATTGTTTGCGCAGGTGCGGCTTCGGCGTCAGTTGGAATGTCGGCAAGAAGATCTTGGACGACAGGCTTTGAACGAACCATTTCGGCTGTTTTTACAAGCCTTCTTCGGCGTTTACGTTCTGGAATTGGTATTAAGTAGGGGGCCGAAGTTGATGGAAGATCGGCTGGGTCAGATGTGGATTCTTGATCTGTTCGGGATACAGAGGCAGTTAAGGTTGTGGCAGTAGGAGGGGAAAGGCTCTTTTTCCTTTTTCTTGGGACGTCGGGTAAGGCGGATTTGTATGTAGGGATGAAGTTTAGTAATACTGGGGCTTTTCGTTTATGAATTGGGAGGCCAAGAAGTGTTTTCAGATCTGGTCCTGGGAAGAAGGATTGGCGAAAATTTTTCGGTGGTTGATGAAGATCTGCAAAGAATCAGACGTCAGAAATAAAGTATTAACATCTTAAGTAAAAACAACTAAGTGTTGACTCAGGGCTCTTACTCTTGCCCTCTGTAAGTGTTCGAGGAAGAGGGTAGAGGTGGACATCTTCATCTGGGCCAAATTCCCAATTTCCAGAGGCAATAAGAAAGTCATCTCCAGCCCCCTTGTTGGAGTCTGGAAGGTCGGCTATAATCTTGTACTGAGTGGATCTCGGCTTAAGGTAATAGACAAAACCCCTATCCTTCAGATCGAGAGGACACATGGTATAACAATATTGAAGGTCGGCTAGGGTGATTCTAAGGTTTTCTTGCCTAGCTAAGGCAATAATACCATTAATTACCCTATAGGAGTTGATAGTGAGTTGCATGGGGTTCAGCCTATAGAAATGGAGAACTTGACGAAAGAGGGGATCGAGTGGAAGCCGAAGTCCACATTCGGTAAAAGCAACTATTGGAAAGGGCATTGTATGATCTGTGGGCACGATGGTATCATCATCCCCAGCCAGTTTAAGATGAACATCGGCTGGGATAGAGAATTCTTGTCTAAAGTATTCAAGTTTTGTTGGGGTATTCACTCTATGCCTCCACATACCCATTATGTCGGCTTAGACTAAGAGGAATATGTCTTAAAAGATGGGCGTTTTTCAAGTTTCCCTAAAAATTAAGGGTTCTACAGACAAATCCCAAGTCTATGAACTATGAAGATAAAGATCGAGGGCACAGATCTGGGACAGATACAAAAAAGAAGAAAACAAAGACGAAGTTTCAGATTCAAGAACAGAGGTATAGTTCTTAGAAGCAATAGAGATACAGAAACAAATCAAGAAACAGCGGCAAAAAGAATGATGAAAAAGCATAAAAGCTCAAAGTATAGCCACAAATTCAAGAGACAAATGAATCCCAGACCTCGAACAAAATCAGTAATGACAGTAGACAGACAAAAGCACATAAAGAGAATTAAAGAATTAAAAGAAAGGGTCTTACCAGAACAAATGAAGCCAAGGCAGTGCTCACCGAACCCAGAAGCCAGTTGCAACAACAAAGAGGGCTTTTGCAAGAATGAAGGATCAAAAGCAGTTCCAGAAGAAAGTTTGAAGCAATGGCGGATTCGAAGAAGAAAAAGCTTTCAGAAAGAGAGAGAACGAGAAGATAGAATGAAAAAAGTAAAGGAAAAGAAGAGGCAAAGAAAAGAAGTTTTGTCAAAAATTTGAAACGGCGGCAAAAATAGGGCAATTATTGCGCCTAGGGTAACGCACGCGTCAGACGGCGCAGACGAACGAACAGACAGCCTCCAGGCGCGTCTCTGACACGCTCCAATAAAGACGAAACACGTGGAAGAAACAGTTAGATATGCATGACAGCTCATGTGCGTAGGGGAGTACGACCGAAGCATCGTTCTCCGAAGAGAACACGTCGGCCGGTAACTTTGTCTCCCCAAGGCCGGAGTAACCTTGCCCTCTAGGCCAGAGTATTCAGTACGGCCTTTTTACGTAGTCCTTCGTGTTTTGGGCCTCAATGCCCAACTCTCAGCTCGGCCCAATTTTTCCCAAAAATTACCCTCTCACCTACCAAAGCCAACCTTTTTGTAAAATTAATTGAAAGCTAATATTTTTTTCTTAGAAAAAACAAAAAGTTATGCGCGCGCACACAAAAAAAAGTCAAAATTTTAAAATATTACATCATTCACTTGTGTATTTTTTTTTTCCTCACAATTATCTATTTAATTAAAAAAATTATTGAAAATACTAAAAAAAATTTATCTGAAAAAAAAAAATCACTTGAAAAAAAACAAGTTAACGTCGTTAGTTTGTGTTACCCTTATTTATATGCAATTTGGGTAGAAGGTCATGTGCAAACTGATTTTTTGATATTGCACTTCATGACTACAATTCTGTGTGTGATGAAGGACAATGAGAGAGTTCATGAGAAATGATTTCTTTTCCTCCTTGGACTCCCAACACAACCAAACATAGTTGGGATTTGGAATTCTATTAATTCTTTCTCCTTTTCCTTTCATTTCCATTTCCCTTTCCATTTCTCTTCCCAAATCCCCCAACCAAACACAGCGTAAGGAAAAAGAAATGATCGGTTTCATCAACGGCACCACTAAGGCTCCAGCTAGAAAGGTCATCGTTGATGGTAGGGAGCTTGAGAATAAGGAGTACGAGTCCTGGAAAAAATCGAACGATCTCGTAAGGAAATGGATACGAGACACCATCACCGATGACATAAAAAAAAGAAGTAAAACGCGTTTGGACTGCTAAAGGGTTGTGGACAAGGTCCGAGAATTGGTACGGTACGCCTACTCATACGGCTACGGCTCTTGGTGGAAGAACCACCGCCGGAGCTTTTCCTTTCTGTTACAGGTTGTTGGAGTCATCTATTCTGCCGGTGCTTTGCTGCTGATCACTAAACGGGCAGTGTGGTCAGATTTTTACCCACACATCAACAATGACTCATCCTCCCTTTTCTCCCCACCCCTTTTGACCCCCTCTCTCTCTCATTGTTTACAATTTCTTTTTCTTTTTCTTTTTTTTCCTGCTCCTCCAATCACCACCCGCCACGTGGCAAAAGGGGGTGAGGGGTGACCCCCAAAAGGGGTCCCAAGCATTGTTCTATATATATATACAAAAATGATTTTAGAGCTCTAAATTTAGCACTAGTGTGTTGGCAGCGGGGTCCACCATTGTTGATGTGATGGATTGTGCCTTGTATTTTTTGTTTTTTTTTTTTTCTTCCATGCCAGCTCATGAGAGCTGGCATTAGAACTGCTGGGTTAGAGCTCTCCAAGAGTGCTTGTGCAAGGCACGAGCGAGTTTTACAATTTTTTTTGTTTTTTGTTTTAATTTATTTTGATTCTAAACTAATGTTTGTTTGATAAAAGAAAAATATAGTGGAATAGGCCTTATATATTCATATAATATCATTTTATTTCACCTATAATATTTTTTTATGAATTTTTATGTTGTATTTGATTAATTAGAATGAGTTGGAATTGAATGATTATATACATTTATTATGACTTTAGTTATGAGTTCATACTCTTTAAAATAATTTTAAACTTTTTTTAGCTGACTTGTATTTAATTCTATAAAAATTGAAGATATAATAGTCAAAATTTAAGAATATATCAACCATACAACTAATCACTCTAACATCACTTTAAAAAAAGAAAAAAAAGAAAAAGAAAAAGTAAATTACAAATATCCCACTTAATATTTGTTTAACCCAAATGTTATTGTGGAAAATTTAAATTGCAAAGATCTAAATCTTCTAACAAATTATTCTATTTGGTTTGATTTTTTTTGAAGATTATTTTAGACAAATTTTCATTTGTTTTAATGAATTTGTTTTCATATTTTTTTTCCTTTTCTTTTTTAGATCTATATGCATCTAACAAATGCCCCATTTTATTAATAAATAAATCATACTTGCATAACAAATAACCAATTTTATTAATAAGGTAAATTTTAATTTTAAAAGTATAAATCTTCTAACAAATTATTTTGTTTGGTTTGGTTTGGTTTGGTTTTTTAATTTTTTTTAGACCCATATATTATTGTGGTAAATTTAAATTTCAAAAATCTAAATCTTCTAACAAATTATTCTATTTGGTTTTATTTTTTAAAAAATTATTTTAGACTGATTTTTGTTTGTTTTAATGAATTTGTTTTCATATATTTTTTTTCTTCTTTCTTTGTAGATCCATATGCATCTAACAAATCTTCTATCAAATGACCCAATTTATTAATAAATGACCCAATTTATTAATAAATAAATTATAATCGCATAACAAATAACCAATTTTATTAATAAGATAAATTTTAATTTTAAACATATAAATCTGCTAACAAATTATTTTGTTTGGTTTTGTTTTTCAAATATTTTTTAGACCCATATATTATTGTGATAAATTTAAATTTCAAAAATCTAAATCTTCTAACAAATTATTCTATTTGGTCTTATTTTTTTAAAATTATTTTAGACGGATTTTCATTTGTTTTCATTTTTTTTTTCTTTCTTTCTTTGTAGATCCACATGCATCTAACAAATCCTCTGACAAATGATCCATTTTATTAATAAATAAATCATACTATAGCGACCCCGGTCTTCTCCCATTTGATTATTGTATCCGGACTTAGGTTCCGTAGATTCTGTCATTGTATAATTGTTGTTGTTGTCCCTTATTTTCTCATTTGGACTTATAGGATGTGTTGGGCAGGTTTGTTTCAGGATGGTTGGGTTTAGAAACCAAGTGTTGCTGTCCAGAATTTTGGATCTTCGCTCGAGCGAGGAGTTTGTCGCTCGAGCGAGCTGTTATTTTTGGTTCTTCGCTCGAGCCGGGGTTTAGTAGCTCGAGCGAGAGGTTGCGTCTGATTTGGACCTGTAGCTGTGCATTCTTGGCTCGAGCGAGCTTTTGGGTTGTTGGCTCGAGCAAAGCTTCCTTGGCTCGAGCGTAGCTTCTCTGTGTCTGGTCACTCGAGCGACCAAGTCTTCGCTCGAGCGAGCCTATCCAGTTTATATACAAGCAGGCGGTTTTGATCAGTCTTTTTTCTCTTCTTTTGATTCCAACCTAGGTTCGACTTCTCTCTCTCCTACTTACTTTTTTCTTAGATTTGATCTATTATAGAGGGTGTTTCACCTAAGTGCTTTTTTAAAATATACGAGGGAGTCGAGGGCTTTTCATTTAATTGACATTTGGGCGATTTGGAGCACATTGGTATATTTGGCTACTTCATATCTGTCTTCACTATTTGGGTTGTTTTCTCAAGTAGGGATTTCTATATCCATTTTATAGGCTTTGTTCTAAGTTTTGGTTTTTGATATTGTTGGGATACTTTGGTTATATTTTGGGAAACCCTACTTGTTGTATTTATTAAATTAATTTGTATAATTAATCATGGAATTTGGGAATAAAGTTGATGGATTAAATTCATGGAATTGGGGAATTCTTGATTAAATGGCGTAGTTGGATAATTTGAATATTTGGTCTATTGAATTGTTGCATAGTATTTTCGTTTTAGAAATAATGTTTTGGGATATTCGGTGGATGGATAGTCGTGAATTGTTTGTAGACATTGCATGTGATTTAGGATATGACACTAATCAATTGGTTAAGTCTAATTTTGACTATTGCATTTGATCAGAAAATACGTGTATTTGATTGAGCATTTGCATTTTGCATACATTGTTTTGTGTGGGAGGAGATAGGGGATGGACTCAGCGGTTGGGGAAGATAGGGGAAATGGAACCTCTAAACGGATTTTGTTTGGGAGGAGATAGGGGATGGATTTCCATTAGCATTCACTTTTATGTGTGCTTATTTAATAATAGAAGTGTTTTATTGATACAGATAAAATGTGTATCAATCTGGGTATGAAGTGTTTTTGATTTTTGAGCTTGGAGTCTCATTTTGTTTGTGATATTGGAGATGTGATATGATATATGTAATTCCTGTTGTAAGTTTGCCAGGTTCTGAGCATGTTGTAAATTGGAAGTAAAAGTGTCTTTAGACATAGTGTCTGAGACTGTAAAATAAAGTAATTGACTTATCTTGGTACCATCTAGTTGAATGTTATGATTTATTCATTGCTTATATGTGGGTTTAGTATACTTTTCTACTGGGGCTGTGGCTCACCCTTTATGGGAACAATCAATTTTCAGGTTCGGTGATAGCTTACGCTCCAAGGACTTAGCTTCGGAAGGACTCTGAAATTTTGAAAGACTATTTTTAGTTATTTTGTTTTTATTGCTTAGAATGTAAAAAATCAAGCCTAGGGCTTTATTTATATTATGAGTAGAACTCATACTTTTGTGTCCGAAGCTGTTGCTTAGAAAGATG